GCCTTCAGCACCAGAAGTCTTTGACCTGAGAACAGGTCCTAAAGGGACAACTGCTGCTGGTCACCAGGTCAGAGGAGCAAAAAAGTGGTTTGGAGTTGTCTTTCTTCCCACTCCATACCCTGAACCTGACAACATTTTCTCCTGAAAAATTAACAAATGAAATGAACATTTCTTGCAGACCAGTTAACGAAGAGTATGGAACAAACTTTTAGGTTGGTTTCACTTCCTATGTGTTTGATATTTCCAACTCCTAATGGTCTTAGCTGACAACATACAGTCCTACAAATGAGGACTAATGACATGCAATAATGACATTTATGCGTACCTGAATGTAGTGGAACTCTCTCCAGGTCAAAGAGTGACTGACAGATGGGATTGATGTTATTGCCAACAAGGCCAGCAAAGCAAGTCCCAGAATGCCTAGAGACACATAAATTTCCATTCTCCAAACATCGTGTTCAACCCAGGCATTTTCTTTTTTTAATTTGACCTGCCAAAAGAACACCATATTTAAAATGAGACTGGCACACCTAGCCGATTGTGTGAAATACAGCTATTTTCACCATAATATTCAGGAAATAAGCCAAGAAACACAGTATTTTTATTTGTTTGAATGTCTCTGACTGTAACTGCTCTTTACTTCTGATGACAGTCTCCACTAGTATCTGCAGAGTAAAGGTGGGCCTTAAGTAAGAACAATTTAGACTTCATCAGCATCTTGGCCCAGGAAAGACTGGTTCTGAGGCCGTTTAGCCTGCCTTCACAGCAGGAGAAATCTTACTCTTTGACAAAAAAAAATATCTATCTATAGCTAAATACCATATCTGGTGTTTATAACAACAGGAAATATATAACAGCATTCTTTTAGGGAGCCAATTCAGCAGGCATTCTTAATGGTGGTATCCTGCCAGGATAGTTGGTTAGTTCTATATTTTTAAGAACAATGACTTGGTACATTCAGCTGGACTGAAAATGATGGTTGGTAATGGATGAAAAGGTGATTTTAATAAACTGATCTCAAAACTTATCCTATTTATGAATACTTGCAACAGCCCTTTCATGCTGCTAGTGATCACTATGGCGTAATATGCCCCAAATACAATCATTTCTTCACCTTGAGGACTCAAGGAAATTTCTGGTAATCCATTCAAGTAAAATTACAGGTAAGGCTGATTTCAGAGTTTTCAACAGGTAGTTCAACTGTTTACAAAATTCTTCAGAAGCTGCTAACATCATACTGTGCTTTTAACAAAACTTTAGATTAGACTTTGAAGGTAATAAGAACGTACATTTGCAGTCTATACCTTATATTGTAATATTCCTTATACTGCAATACTCATGACATTCAAGGCGATACGCAAGTATTAGGAACTCTTTAGTCACAGAGGATCTTGGAGAGCTTTGCCAGGCAATTATTGCCAATGACAGTTTCAGAGCACTGGAACAGGCTGCCCAGAGAAGTTGTGGAGTCTCCTTCTCTGGAGTTATTCAAAGTCTGCCTGGATACATTCCTGTCCAAGCTGCTCTAGGTGAACCTGCTCCAGCAGGGGGGTTGAACTAGATGATCTCCAAAGGTCCCTTCCAACCCTGACCATTCTCTGATTCTGTGACTCTGTGAAGCATGACTGAATTTCTATCTTCCAACAAGTTAGTGTGTGTCAGCCTAATCGTGGAGCCAGCAGTGTTCACAAATTTAGTTTCTGGCAAATACAGATTATTGTGATTTAGGTCAACCCTCCTTCATTGCTGGTTAATTCACTTTACAAAGAATATGTCTAAAAATGGTGTGTGCTCAGTTTTTGTCAGCAGTCAATCTACTGGTGCAGAGATTAATCCACACTAAACTAATAGTGTACCAAAGACTTAAATGCTCCTGTGAGGCAGGTATAATTATGTGCATTTCACAGAGAGATAAAAAATCCCAAATGAAGAAAATGACTTATTTAATACATGCTGGCCCAGCTGTGATGACTCTTGACTCATTATTACGTATTTTAACAACTAGGTCCTGCTCCATCCCTTAACAGTGCTCTGTGGCGATCTGCTTCAAAATAAAATGAAGGCAATGAAAATGGTTTTCCCCCTGCTCCAGATTTGTTTGAGTGACCAAAACAAGGATTTTCTGAATACAGAAGAGTTGGCATTTGCATGCCCATCATACCTGCTGGAACGCCCAGTTCAGCAGCTTGTATCTGTATGATCTTCTCATTGGATAGCATAAGCTATAGCAGGCGTGCATTGCAGCGAAGAAGAAACTGAGAAGTCCAAATTGCTTTCTTGATAACATCCATCTATCCAACCACTGCGGAAACCTTTTATACTTGGTGCCAAAGTACAGCTGGAAACCAGCAGCTAATATTCCTGGTAAATATACTAGTGCTAAAAGGGTGATTGAAACCACTGGTAAAACTTTGTTTATTACAAGGATTGGAATTTTATAGAAAACATTTTCCTTTCTGGTTATAAAAGGATATATGACATCTCTCATAGAAGTGTAAATAAATGTTAATAATGAGATCACAGATGCTATCTTCATTGGCAAGTGCCACTTGGGGAACAGATCCTGCTTGCAGTGTTGTTCTGAAGAGTGTTCAAACTCACCAAAATGGTGTGCTTGATGTAAATTAAAAAGCGCAGCTGCTTCTGGTGGATTGGTGACTTGCATATCCACATTCTGGAAAGGACAGAAAGGAAATACCAAGTGAGTTCAAGAGAAGGTTAAAAACTTCAGTAATGACAGCATTTGCCATTGTGGCTTTTGCACCGTACTGGACTGAAACCATATACAAAACATACACACTATTAAAGACAAAGCAGCTTGAAAACATAACATTTCAAGCAAGGTACTTTTAGCATAGATTTCTCATTCATCACTCATTATCTGTGGTGATTTCAAAATAGGTTTTAATTCCAGGAAGTTAACTACACCGCAAAGGGAAGATGGATTACATTATGTAAAGCATCATTACAGCTTCTTACGATAGGAGCTACAGATTTCAAATGTCAAATTTCAGCTACAGACTTAATGATGCAGCCCAAATAACATACATAATAACAGAATCCAGAGTCAAGACAATAAAATATTTCATTCAGTCACTGCTATTTTAATGACGTTCAATTGGGGGAATAAGGATGAAAGTTGAAATGTTTGGGATCTAGCATATTAAAGCAGCTGCACATCTGTCAACTCCAGCATCAAGTCCTGTGGTCTTCTTCCTCTCCTTCGCAAATGTAATACTGTCCTCTTAACTTCTATGAAAACTTGTGAAACTGAGTCACTTCGGTTTAAAAAGCTGAATTTTCAGCTGCCAAGTAGGCATGGTTTGATTCTAGTCTCACAGAAGATCTTGGCAGAATTATCACAGACTATAGAAGGAGCTAAGCTAGTACAAAAATTTAGTGTAATATTATAAACTATTTTACACTGAGATAATATATTTAAAGATTATCCCATAGTTATAGTTCATGGAAGAGGTACATGATCAGTATACATAGAAAATTAAAATACGTGTACCAACAGCAGGACAGCTGCATCAAGCAGCACTTGATGCAGCAGACAGCTGTCCAGGGGTGGAAACTGAGAACTGATTACATTAGGTAATAAACATGTAAGTCCTTTAATATTCCATTGAGATATAAAATAAAACTGAACTAATGCTGCAATGGCTTAGCTTTAGAGTGACTGATGTGGCAGGTATCTGGACCTCCAGATACTGTCCGTTTTGAGGAAGGCAAATAACTAACTTAGTCTGAAAGTTGTAAGTTAGTGTTCTGCTAGGATACAGGAGATCTTCCTATCTCAGCAATATTATCTGGCTTTATTCTTAGGAATCAAATATTACATTGAAGCTGATTAAGCAGTCAATTCAAACAAACTTGTAAATAATGCAAGGGTAAGTGGGTACAAGTCTTGTGTTCATCTTCAATGATACATAGGTGTTTTGTTTTAACAGAGAGATAAAAAATGTATGCTGGTATCTTACTGTAAGATCCTAATTGGAGACAAGGTAGCCTGTTTCCCACATGTCTGACTGACTCTTCTACGGTGCCTCACAGTAAATTTAAAGGACGTTAGGATTTTTTTAGCTGAATAGCTACTAAATGTTTATCTGATGATAAAAGCATATCTTTCTAACAGTGAAAGTGTAGCCTGAGTAACTTTTATTCTCTAGTGTTGGAAGAAAAGTAGAACGTAGTCTATGCATTGCAGAATCAGAAGTTGGTATAAATTATACAAACTGAGATTCCCATCTGAACCAAGTTTGTCCAACAGATACCCGTTTCTTGAAGAGAGTCTGTAAAGCCTAATTCAGTATTTCACAGCCTGCGAGACACTTCACATTAGAATAGAAAGCTGTAGCTTGAACTACTTCTGTGCATCAGCAGTTGCAGAGGCAAATGCTGTTGGAGTGGATTTTTTTTTCTGGACTTTTTTGTGTGGTGTGGAAAACTTACTGAATGCGATACAGCAATTATGAAGATTCCTCCAAAGTTAAATTTTATATTCCTGTAAAAAAATCCCAAATTATTTCTACAGAGGTTTGCTCATCTGGTAAAATACAACTAGCAACTAACCTCATGTAGTTTTTAGCTGCCCAAAACTGTGTATTTTTGAGCACGGTCTGTGACTGAATTGAATGAGATGCTTTTTATCTTTTTATCTCTTCATGTCAATATTGTGACAAGCCTTTAGAAGTACTGATGGTATGCCAGTGTGATGGGAACACAGTGTTTCTGGACAAAATTGAATGAAAAATTGCAATATTTTGTGTACCATATGAGCTGCTTTTTTACAGAAACATTACCAAGTTGCTAAGGTTTCCTGTATTTCTTCTCGGCACGATGCTCTGACCTGCATTCTGATCAATGGTGCGATTATCACCTTCCCTCTTCTCCATTGCGGAAACTCCCTGCAAAACAAACACAGGATGTAAAACGGGTTTTGAAATGCCCTACTGGAAATTTGAAGCCTATTTTCCCTCGGAATGTTTTGTTCCCTGTCCTCTGCCCATTTGCTGGAAAAGGTACGATAATCTAGGGAAAGGAAAGTCTGGTCTCCGAGAAGATAACAGAAAAGCTCAGCTTGTTCTTTAAGTAAAGCGGAGACTAAAAGAGGATACGAATCAACAGAAGAAAATCACTGATGAAAAAAATAATAAAGCTAAATGCTTATGTCCCCAGTGGAATGAATTAATTAATTCAGGCTGAAAGTTTTTAAATTGCAACAATGAAGTTTGAAAAACCTTACAGAAATAATGGGTAAAAAGTTATGAAGATGGATTTTGGTGAGTTCATGAGACTTGTTGATGCAAGAAACTCATGCAAATATGTTGTTCCTAATATTTTTTAGGATTTAGGTTTTAGGATTGGTCTACCTGACAGTCACTCTGTGGCTTTAGAGGTATATTCTCACTCTGAGATTGTCAGGAAACTCCAGCTGGAGCTTCACTCACGCTATTCCAAGGTACACACACGATACTCATCACCCACAAGTACCAGCAGAAATGGTTCTAAGCTATTAAGGACTACAAGAAATCAGAAGCCAGAAAAAAAAAAAAAAAAAAAAAGAGAATGGATAAATATATGTTTCTGAAAACCCTAGGATAGCAGGAAAACAGTATCTTGAAGGCTGTAAAATAACTAAAAGGACTGCAAGGACCCTGCAACAAGGACTTCCTATGCGTGCATCACACTGTCGCACACTGCAGGAGGAGAGGCACAGGCACCACACCACTGGAAGCTCAGGGTGCCATACCACAGTGTGACTTTCTGTGGCTACCTTTAAGACAGTGACTAGGTAGCTCCTCCATGTGCCTTCCTACTCAACGGCTGAATTACTAGATATGAAACTGTTTTGCTAACTACTGATTCTTTTATATCCATAAACCTTTTGGGAAATTGTATGGACAAATCAGACTTTGACAGTTGTCCTTTTTTGATTGCGTCTTGTTCCTTCAGTGGATGAGTCCTACAGTCTTCTATTGTCTGCTATGAGGGTTTGCTTTCTGCCAGGCCACCAGACTCCTGAAGCCAAACTATCCTCTTCCTAAGTATTTCTCTTTGGATTTTTCCCTCCTGCTAGCAAGCTCTCCCTTTGGGCATAACCTTTCAGCCAAGTGTTGCAGAGTAGGGTCAACAAGAGCTTCTGTCTGAAGGTCAGGCTGTTAACCCCTTCCTACACCAGCTAATGGATGGTTTGTATGCCCTGCACATAAGAAAGCACGGGCTGATGAAGGCACATTTCTATTTTTTTCCCCTATTCCTAGGGCTAGTCCCAGTGATTTTATCACAAGTTTCGGTGTATCAGTTATCTTCATAAAACCTCCAGTCTTGCAGACCCGTAATTAGTTAAGATTTTCTATTTCTGTATGTTTTAATATACTGTATTTCTAGCTGTTACAATGGCAAAGAATAGTTTACAAACAGAACTCAGTATAATATAATTACCTGGAAAAAAATACTCACAAATACAGTGAGGTCCAGATCTATTTTTAAAAGAACTCAGAATATAAAGGGCAGTCACACTGTTTTTGAGGCCTAGCCTCTGCTTTTTAAAGTCTGATGTGGAAAAAAAAGGACGCAAACTTGTACACTGACTTTTTAGTCTTTCAGGTAATGAGACTGACTTCTTAAAATTGTTAAAACAGCTTGTGGCTCAGTTATTTCTGCTTTTTAATTTTTGTTTGTACTCCACTGAGCTTTCAACCAGTCTACATAAGCTTACATAGTGATCCCGTCACTTCATAACTCTCCTCTTCTGACTATCACACTATCTTGGGGGTCCAAAAGCATATTTTAGATAGAGAAGGTCTATGTGGAAGAGCTTGACTCCCCTGATTCTCATGCTGCTATCACTCTTCATTTAGAAAATTTAGAAATGAAGAGTCCAGTACTAGCTTCTAGCTAAAGGTTTGTATTGATGAGGATGTAGTAAATGATAGCATGATGTGAAAAAATATTCCATAAGCTAGAATGCCTCATGCTGATCCTAAAACCTGATTTATTGGTTCTTTCAGAAAACAATGTTTAATACAATGTTAAATACAGCGTTAATGGTTTATGTAGCAGAAGACAAAATGGAAAGAAAAAAGAAAGTGCATGTGAATGAATGCATGTGCTCATCCTTGGAAACATGGTTACAGCCAAGCGACTGGATGCAAGGAAACATAGGTGCCCAACCATAATAGTCCACTTGGCTTCTGATACCGGAGTCAACACAAAATTATTTCTTGGGTACACCCAATAATAAAGCACAGTAATAGTCTTGGAAAACCCTAAAGAAAAGACATTTATAATTCCACTATTCAGTGCCTTGTGAACTGCCAGAAAGGAGTCATCTGCAGCATGTGTGTTTTTGGAACACACCAGAAGAAAAAAATTGAGTCCTGTGAGAGACACAAACTAATCAGTTATAGCCCTATCTAAGTCACGACTGTTATGAAAGAAAACAGTTGTAGTAATGTCCATCCTCGGTGCAAATCCTTCTTCTCTGGGAGTCAGCTGTGAATGAGGATGGAGGATGTCCAGCTGCAGAAAGCCAAGTTTCCAACGCTGTGAGTACGCTACTGCATTTTATACCGAGAAAACAGGCTCATTATAATGCTGCACCAACGGGGATCCACACTGCGCAGACATTACCCCGACAAAACATCATCCAAAGACAATGAGAGGTTTTCCTGAGTAAGGGATTTCAGGGCTGGCTCCACCAAAAAAAGAAAAATGGCTAAAATAAACAGGCTATGATAATAATGATGAGGTGATGGAAGAGGCACGGGACGGTGACTACATCCCTCTTCTTTGGCACCATCGGAAAATGACAGCGCGAAAGCGTTGAGGGATAACTGTCTCCTTTTAAAGTGCGCGCTGCACCGTGCGGGACGGGGTACGCTCTCGGGACGCGAGTAAATCACTTTCCCTGCTCTTCAAAAAATCTGCTGAGCTCTGCGGAAAACCTAATAGAAACCCGGGGGGGCTGGAGCAGGAGAGCGTCGCTCGGCGCTTCTCCTCGGTCAGAGTGCGCCCGGGGCGGCCCACGCCGGCCGGGGCAGGAGCGGGTGGGCTGCCAGCCCGACGCC